GGCTTCCTAAGCTGCAGAGAGGTGCGAACCTTCAAAAACTGAGTTTGGTGGATGGCCATCGCAACGCTTTCTGGCCTTACGGCTTAGGGGGGCTCAGGGTTTGTGGCTAGGGTTTAGGGGTCCATGTGGGTTCGGAAACTCGTCTCCCCGACAACCTAGGAACAACCCCAAGCCCTATAGAACCTAGACCGTTGTGCTGATGAGGCCTCCTAAGGAACCCAAACCCTGGCAAAAAGGGTGGCCGAATGACTAAGGTTACCAAGGGACGGGAGGTGGGGGGGGGGGGACCCATGGGCCTTAACACAATAAGCAAAAGTCTAGGGTCTAATTTACAGAGTCTACAGGGTCTAGAGGATCTATATGGATGAGGCCGGCTAGGATTTATCTGAGTTGTGCTTTAAACACGTGAAAATTCGTTATGAGTAGGTTCCCTTATAAGGAAAGAAGGGAAATTAAATATTATCCCAAAACACAACCCAGTTATGTGGTTTTTGTCACCATGCGGAGGAAGGTGCCTACGGTCCCACGGCTGACATCATCCCAGGAGACCACCTGTCTTGGAGGGTTTGGGGTTTAGGGTTTGTTTAGGGTTAAGGGTTTAGGGTTTGGGGCTTAGGGTTTCCTTCGAATTAAAAACCGATGTGTCCCTCTTCCCACGCAGAGGGACTACCTCAAACCCGAAACCCCAAACGCCACAGGGTCTATAGAGGCAGCGTCAAGAAGCCCAGCTGGAACGGAGTTTTCGGATCCAAGCCCTGAACCCTAAACGCTAAACCCTAAACCCTAAACCCTAAACCCCTAAAACCTAAACCCAGGGGTCATAGTATCTGGGGATGACAGGGTTTTCAAGAACCAGCCAGTGACATGGCATCATCTCCAGAAAGGCTGAAGATCCCCCAAAAGTTGCGAAAACTGCGAACCCTTACACCCTATAGCCCTAAACCCTAAACCCTGTAGCCCTAAACCCCATAGGCCTAAGCCCTAGAGCCCTAGAGCCCTAGAGCCCTAGAGCCCTAAACCCTAAACCCTCATGATCACCTTCAGGACTGGAGGTTGCGCCAAAGAACCTAGGGCCATCGGAAATGCCACCAGCTCATGCACCTCAACCGGCTTCAGCCTCTCTTTTTGAGCAGTTTAGGGTGTAGGGTTTAGGTTTTAGGATTTAGGGTTTAGGGACAATCCTGAACCCCCAAACTGGGTTCCTGAACCCCAAAACCCTAAACCCCACACCCTAAACTCTGAATCCCCAACAGAAGCCCTTCGTGCTTAAACCCTAACCCCTGAACCCTAAACCCTAAAGCCTGAACCCTAAACCCTAAACCCTAAACCCTAAACCCTAAACCCTAAACCCTAAACCCTAAACCCTAAACCCTAAACCCTAAACCCTAAACCCTCCCCTTTGGAGTGCTTGTGGCGACCTTGCAGCTGTAGGTGGCGTAGTGGCCGCCTTGCGAACGGCAGGCCTCGTTGATGGCCTGCTGCAAGGTTTGAGGGTTTAGGGTTAGTACAAAGTAGGATATCAGTCGAAAACTAGTATCCCTAAACCCTAAACCCTGAACCCTAAACCCCCTTATCAACCCTAAATAAGGTACCCCTATTTACGCAAATAGTAGGATTTCAGACTCGAAAACCCTAAACCCTAAACCCTAAACCCTGAACCCTGAACCCTAAACCCTAAACCCTAAAGTTTTGGGGTTTTAGGGGTTCTCGGGGTTTCAGGGGTTTTGGGGGTTTTAGGGGTTTTAGGAGTTCTAGGGGTTTGAGGGTTTCAGGGGTTTTAGGGGTTCTAGGGGCTCTAGGGTTCTAGGGTTTTAGGGGTTTTAGGGGTTTTAGGGGTTTTAGGGGTTTTAGGGGTTCTAGGGGTTTTAGGGGTTCTAGGGGTTCAAGGGGGTTTTAGGGGTTTTAGGGGTTTTAGGGTTTTAGGGGGTTTAGGGGTTCTAGGGGTTTTAGGGGTTTTAGGGGTTCTGGGGGTTTTAGGGGTTTTAGGGGTTTTAGGGGCTTCAGGGTTTTTAGGGGTCTTAGGCCTTTAGGGTTTTGGGGCTTTAGGGGCTGCTGGAGGTGCGATTTCAAGGGTCAGGGTTGTCTAAAAACCCTAAACCCTAAACCCTAAACCCTAAACCCTAAACCCTAAACCCTAAACCCTAAACCCTAAACCCTAAACCCTAAACATCCCGAATTGGGGCTTCAGGGTTGCATGGGGTATCGGCGGCCGCGTGCTTTGACGCGAGCTCGTTGTACTGCCTGAACCCTGAACTCGATTCTCGTCATTGTGATTCACAGCATTCTGATTCTTACGGAGGGGGGTTTAGGGTTTAGGGTTTAGGGTTTAGGGTTTAGGGCTTCTCCTCTGCTCCTCGATTTTCTGGCGCCTTCATGGTTGCGTCCACGGAAGCCATGGTCGACATTCGACGTCTCGGAGGGCCCAGACGCTTGGAGGTAGTAAAGCCGTAACGAGCCTTCCGGGCGAGGCGATGTGTGGGAATTAGGGTGTAGGGGCTCTCCTTTACCCTACAGGCTAGGGTTGTGGTGGCTTAGGGTTTGGGTGTTTAGGGTTTTGGGGAGGTTTGGAGTTTAAGTTTTTGAGGTCGAGGACCTTGCGGGGGCAGGGTTTGGGCAAGAACTACGCTTTGGAGTTCGTGGCTTAGGGTTGAAGGGGTTCCTCAGCATTTCCTTACCTAGTCCTTGTGCAAAGTACTATAACTAGCGGACAAAGTGGCGCACATATTGCTAGTAATGCGGTTTTGCCGTGACCTTGTTTGTGTAAGCTCATGTAAGCTAATAAGTACGAGATACTTAGCCTCTAAACCCTGTACCCCAAACCCTAAAGAGATTGACTCAACAACAGAGCCCCAAGGGTCCATGTACCTCTATATAGTATACACTTCGGCCCTACAGCTACTTTATAGGAACTCCTATTTACTAGGCTGCCCAGTAACCTAGGCTTAAAAAGGGTGCCCTTTTTTGCTTAAAGGCGTTCATAAGGGAACCTAAACCCACCAAAAAGGGAATAAGGGTACCACTGGGCATCCTAGTTTAAGGCCCAAGTATATACTACATGGGCACATGGACCTTTGCAGGAGAGCCGGTCCCTTCCCGAACGAAATCACGCATCCCGAATCTCTCAACCGGGATTTTGGGTTTGGGGTTCTAGGGTTCTAGGGTTCTAGGGTTTAGGGTTTAGGGTTTAGGGTTTTAGGGTTTTAGGGTTCTAGGGTTTAGGGGGTGGGGACTTCTTACAGAAACGAAAACTTACCACTGCTTAAAGGTTCCCCGTCTTCCAGGGTACACAGACGGTTTACTTGTAGCTTCGCGAAGTGTGGGTGCGTCTCAGGTAAAGTGTTGCTATCTCCCAGACCCAAGCCTCCAAACCCGAAAATCTGCAATCAAAAGGAAAGCATGAAACCCGAACCCTGTGAAGTAGGAATTGTATCTGTCCCCCAAGAGGACACCTATTGTACGCACTCATCAATATGTATAAGGAACCCTTTATACACTTCCCAAGAACAATAGTATCAACTCAAACTCATACACACCCTTATCTGCCTGGAAAATCGAACCTCGAACTCAGAAACCTGCACCCGAGATTGGCCCAACAGTTTCGTGTGCTTTTTGTCCACGTTCAAAAGCTTTGGCTCATTTGAAGCGGTCCGCTTGGGAGGGTTCTCGGGGTTCCGTGTTTGAGGTTTTCCGTCAGGCTTTGTGCCTTAGACCCTAAACCCTAAACCCTAAACCCTAAACCCTAAAACGTATGGACAACCTGGCGGGGCAATGAAGGTAAAACAAAAAAACAGGGTTGTATAAAGCACATCAACAGCAAATAAGCGTTTCCTACTTCCATCGCCAGTGCTAAGAAGGAGCTCCGCTTGTTGGAAAAAGAGCAATAAGGGCCCGATTTTGGGTTACACGTACCAGAACTTCGGTGAACAACATTGAACTATGGTGAATATAGCAGGGGGGTGGGGGGGGCTATCCTTGCAGAGCTACCCACCGAATAGACCCTAAACCCTAAACCCTAAACCCTAAACCCTAAACCCTAAACCCTAAACCCCCCCCAGCCCCCCAAACCCTCGGTTTGGTTTAGGGTTGTAGGTTCAGGCGTCCGGGTCTTCGTTTGGGGCTCAGAGTTTTCAGCCTAAGGCTCCTCCCAAGAAGTGCTGCGTCAAAGCTGGCGGACAGCAGCTCTCAAAAAGACGGGTTTAGGATTTAGGCATATAAATGGGGTCTAGAGCTTAGGGTTTGGGTTTGGGATTTGGGGTTTAGGGTCTAGCAGAGACCTTACCAAGAAGGCTGCAGAAAGGACAGTGCAACCTTGAACTATTCGTTGAAGGCGCTGAGTTGAGTTGAAGTTAACGACCCTGGAATAGGGGCGCTATCTTGGGGGGTCACCGCCTGCCTGCTAATGCGTGTGGCTTTGGAACTACAGGTAAGCTCAAAGCACCCTAAACCCAAAAACGACGTAACCCAAACACCCGAAACCCCTAAATCCTAAGACCCTAAAACCCTAGGGCCCATACTCCTAGCCCCTAAACCCTAAACCCGAAACCCCCAAAAACACCAACCCCGACCCCTAAACCCTAAACCCTAAACCCTAAACCCTAAACCCTAAGCCCTAAGCCCTAAGCCCTAAGCCCTAAACACCTACTTCGAAGCTCAGGAGACCCGGGGCCGTTGAGAGAGCGTCCAATTCCATGCTCCTGGAGGCTTCCTGCACAGAGCCTCTTTTGCACTTCAACCCTAAACCCTTAGGTTTAGGGTTTAGGGTTTAGGGTTTCCTTCAAGTACATGTAACAAGTAACACTGTGCAGGAGGGCACCGGGAGCACTCCGGTGCATGAATTCACAGATCGCGTTGAGGGCTTCAGGGTCTTAGTTAGGGTTTTGGCACCTTTCGGTAGATTCTTATGAAACGGCCTTGGGCCACAACACATTGTATGATACGTGTGGCTGGTTTACGGTTTAGGGCTTTTAGACTTCGCCGCGGCTGCTATCACCGCTTTGTAGCTACATGGGCAGCTCATCGTCGTCGTCGAAGTCGTTGTCCGAATAGTCGGACCCTGCAGGCGCAACGAGGCTTCAAGACCCAACCTTTCAGGACACAACTTAAACCCCTACGCTCCTAACTCCTTAATCCAGAGCCCTAAAACCCTAGGCCCTCTGAACTCCAAAGCACGAAATCTCCACCTCCAAAACCCCTAAGCCAAAGCCATAAAGCCTAATTCCTGAAAAGAAACCCGAAGCCCTGAGACCCTCAATCCGTAATAAACCCTAAGCCCTCATCCCTAACCCTTAGGGCTTCAGGGCTTGAGGGGTTTCGGGATTTAGGTTGGGCTTTGGGAGTAGGGATTGAGGGGCTTAGGGGTTTAGGGAATGAGAGTTTAGCGATTGAAGGCTTGAGGGGTTTGCGGCCCACTTGTAGGCGATAAGACCCGTTCCCTACATACTGCGGACGCAGCTCCTATGTCGTGACTTGGGCATTTCCCAAATTGGGGTCCCGAAATATATACCCCAAAAGTACTATAATCCTTACAATAGGAACCCGCAAAAAGGGTACCCCACTATTCTCGGAACCCCCCCCCATTTTGCGGCACAGGAACTACGGACGCAGTCGCCTAAGCACCAAACTGACCCTCACTACCCTAGCTCCGAAGCCCCATTCTGTTCGGATCTTTGGTGGCTTTCTGCTAAACCCTAAACCCTAAACCCTAAACCCTAAACCCTAAACCCTAAACCCTAAACCCTAAACCCTGAACCCTGAACCCTGAACCCTGAACCCTGAACCCTGAACCCTGAACCCTAAACTACAAGAATCTAGAACAACCTAGGCATGCGCCCAGCGGCCATCGTCGTCTTGGGCGAGCGGCGCGCTCGCCTGAAGGCCCGAAAGCCGCGTGGGTGTACGCCCCCGGGCTTAGGGTTTATAAGGTTTAGGGTTTAGGGTTTAGGGTTTAGGGTTTAGGGTTTAGGGTTTAGGGTTTAGGGTTTAGGAGCCCCTAAGCCTAAGCCCCAAAGCTATAAACACTAAGGAGCCCTAAACCCTGAAACGCCCCAGACCCTAAACCCCTAAACCCTAATCCCCTGAACCCCTGAACTCCTGAACCCCTAAACCTCCAAACCCTGAATCCCTAACCCCGAAACCCCTAAACCCTAAACCCTAAACCCCTACACCCCCATAAACCCTGAACCCTCAACAAGGCCCAGAATGAACCCAGAAGGCCAAACGATGATTAACCTCAACGGGTTTAGGGTTTAGGGTTTAGGGTTTAGGGTTTAGGGTTTAGGGTTCAGGGTCAGATCCTTCCACTCGAGGGCTTAGGGGTTCGGGGTCTAGAGTTGAGGGGTCTCGGGTTTAGGGTTTAGCTACAGAAGCTTTCGGGGTGCTGGCTCTTACGGTCTGGGTCTGCCGGGATCCTATGCTAAACCCCCACTACCACTCGAGAGCTATTGAAGACTGTTCGTATAAGGGAGAACATCCCAAAGCGCAGCTACAACCTACAAATTTATTCTTGGCGAACCCTAAAACACCCAACGCCTGATCAACTTTCACCACAAGGAACAAAGTGCAAGCCTAAACCATACACCCTAAATACGCCAACAAGACAACCTGCGGCAACCTGATAACCCCAAGAACCGGCCCAAGAAACCCTGAAACCCTGAAACCCTGAATCCCCAAGCCCTCAACCCTAAACCCTAAACCTTAAACCCTGAACCCTAAACCCTGAACCCTAAACCCTAAACCCCAAACCCTAAACCCTAAACCCCCAAACCCTAAATGCTCCAATCCATGTGAGCTCCCGCACCTTGGCCTTGGGGGCCAGACCTCGAGGCTTAGGGTTTAGGGTTTAGGGTTTAGGGTTTAGGGTTTAGGGTTTGGGGTTTGGGGTTTGGGGTTTAGGGTTTAGAGTTTTGGGGGTTTGGGGGCTTCGTGATTCAAGACTCTGGGGTTGAGACCCTAAACATTAAACCCCAAAACCCTAAACCCTCAAACCGGGTTGAGGGAGTTTGGGCAGCCAGGAGGCAGAGGCCCTGAACCCACTTGACGGTTCATGGCTAGTTGTAAGTCGGGTTATAAGTAGCCTAAATAGGGTTTGGGTTTCGGGTTTAGGGCTATAATAATTATAGTTGCCCTCCACCCATGACTCCAAGCACGCCGGGGGGTTTAGGTGGCTTCGGCGTGTTTCTGGTTTAGGGGGGCTTCGAGGATGTAAGGGTGTGAGGGATCTAGGGGGTTTAGGCTTTTGGGGTTTTGGGGCAAAGGGTTGAAAGATTTGGGCTTAGGGGTTTGAAGGGTCGAGGGGCTTTCAATAAGTTGGGGTGGGGGGTTGTTTCGGGGTTTAGGGGCAGTTTAGGCGGGTGTTGGGGGATCAGGGGCTAGAGGTTTAGGGCAGGTTGCCGGTGGGGTAGAGTCTCCGCGGGCAACCCCTAGCCCCTAAAGCCCTAAAGCCCTAAGCCCTAAGCCCTAAGCCCTAAGCCCTAAGCCCTAAGCCCTAAACCCTAAACCCTAAACCCTAAACCCTAGCCCTAAACCCTAAACTTGCTGCTCATGTACTCCGGGCATAGTATCTAGCCCCCCGGGCTCATGCACCGCTATGGTATACAGGTAGGCCCTAGAGCCGCTGTGTGGGAACCCCTTTAGCGGCCCATTTAGGGTTTAGGGTTTAGGGTTTAGGGTTTAGGGTTTAGGGTTTAGGGTTTAGGGTTTAGGGTTTAGGGTTTAGGGTTTACCCTGTTGGGCAGGTGCTGTCTACGCAGCTTCCTTTTGTAGAAGAGAGGCATGTGCTTGAAGACATGCAAGCGACAGAAGCCCTTCAAACTGGTGAAGCCCTTGCATCACTCCGCGTGAATATAGGGCAGAGCATCCCAAACTAGCGCCATTCCTAAAACCATAAACCTAAAACCTACCCAACCCTACACCCGAAGCACCTGCAACACCTGGGCCTCGTTTTGGGTATGAGGACTCGAGGGTCAGACCCGAGCGAGCTAACTCCGGATAACCCTTCTGGGTTTATTTCTATGTTTGAGTTTCGGTTTTTGAGTTTGGGCTTCGGGGTTGGGGGTGGAAGGAGACTGTTCTACGTGCAGTGACTCTACTGGGGCCAGCGTTTGTTGCACCGTGCGTCCCTTTTCCCAGGGCTAGGCAATACAGAAGAGTATGTTGGCACATAACATGGAAAACGGTTCGTTTTCGAAGATACTATGCATATGTGTGTATGTGTGTGCCTATGCAAGCATACAAGCGTAAAACACAAACTAAACAAGGCTTGAAACATATACATGTATGACCATGAAACAAAAGCGTTTAGATGTATACATAGAAACTCACAGACAGCTAGATATTTACAAAATCTATAACAATGTTGCAATAAAACTGTGTACATAAGTATATAGATATAGATATTTACATATGTGATTTTAAAGCATTAAAGTTTAAATCAAACAACAAAAACATAAACCAATGTTGAGATTGGAATATTCCCTCTACACTAACAGTCCTTGATCGGGATTAAGGTAACCCCCTCTTGTAGTCCCTATGAAGGACTGTTAGTATAACGGTGAACATCCCAATATATACCACCCTAAACCCCTAAGCCCTAAAAGCCTAAAAACCCGAAACCCAAAAACCCTACAACCCTAAACCCTAAACCCTAGCCCTAAACCCTAAACCCTAAACCCTAAATCTCTATTGAATATACAAAGCCGGCCTCCTGTGCTCGGGCCGGCAAGGGAGGCTGCACCCGCGCCCTGGGGCCTGCTAGCACTTGGAGAGTTGGAATTGGAGTGTGCTTGTTTAGGTTGTGGGGTTTAGGGTTTAGGGTTTAGGGATAGGGTCTAGGGTTTGGGGTGTAGGGTTAGGGTTCAGGGCTTAGGGGCTAAGTAGGGCAGCTATAGTGGTAGTTGGTGATTCGGGTCTTGCAGTACTCTGAATGCAAGGCTTTGAGGGTCTGGGGTTTCGTTTTGTGGGAGAACCTTTGGGGTTGGGGGTTTAGGGTTTAGTTCAAGTTCACGGTTTTAGGCACTGCAGTTGTTTGTACATCGCATTCGGTTTTCTGTCCATGGTCAGCGTCGGCATAGTGAAACCTTCAAATATGGGCACTCGCGGCTCCGAAGAGATGCGCTGAGCATGCGTGCAGCAGAGCTTGTAGTCCTCCGAAAAGTGGATGTCCATGTGTCGTGCTACCGCTGAGCGCACGGACACGCCCGAGCCAGGCGCCAGTTCAACGCGGTAAACCCATGTGCCGCAAGTGGACCAGCTCATGCTCGCCAACAGAGGGCTTGGAGGGCTTGGGGTTTCTAGGGTGCAGCGGATAAGGGTTTAGGGTTTGGGGTTTGGGGTTTAGGGTTTAGGGTTCAGGGTTGGGGATGGGCGGGGGGTTTGTGGGGAGAAGGCCGGCTGTTTTTTTCATGGTCTTGGTTCAGGGTTTTGGTTTGAAGGGAAGTTCTAGTTGGGTGACAAGCGCCCTAAATAAGAGTATCGCCCGTTATAGTTATAGCTACCCTACTTATAACCCCACTTACAACCACCCATGCACCTCCCCAAGTCTTCGGGCACTAGAAGTTCCATAAACGGGGTCTCAACGACGGGTAGATGGAGTAGTTCCCCGAATTCGGATCCCAACAAATGGGGATCCTGATTCTAATGCCGTGCTGTACTATAAATAGGACCCAAAGAGGGACCTAAACCCTAAACCCTAAACCCTAAGCCCTAATAGTTGCTTAAGAACCGCGCCCCCCCCCCCCCCCCTCCCCCCACACAAAAGAAATCCTTGTAAGGGTAGTATAGAGATTCTCACCATTATCACCTTTCATGTTTGGGTGGTTCTTAGCCCTAAGGATATGTACCTCATAATTATGTACGTGGGCCCGAAAGTCACAGTATAGGAAATACTTTAAGGCCTTAGGTACATTGTAGCCCTAAACCCTAAACCCTAAATCTCAGGATACGCAAATAGTAGTAATTTAGAGAACTACCCATCTGCAGTGTAGGGTTTAGAGGGTCTATAGGGTCTGTTCGCGGGCCAAGATTGTGATGCGTTTTGGCTTTTTGCGGAGGTGAAGCGTTGTAATCTACATACCCTAAACCCTAGCCCTAAACCCTAAACCCTGAACCCTAAAACCCAAACCCAAGAGGCCTTAAACCCTAAACCGAGGCCATTTTTCGGGATGTCGGCAAGGTGAAAGGTTGGGGCTTTCTTCCTCGCTGTGTTTCTCACCTGCGCCGGGGTTTAGTTCCGTCTCAGCGTGCAAGGACCCACGTCATCGCAGCCGTCTACACCCTAAACCCTAAAGCCTAAAGCCTAAACCCTCCTAAACCCCTGTAAACCCTAAACCCTAAACCCTAACCCTCAACCCCAGGCCCTACTTGGTTCACCGAGTGGCCTTGTCAGAGAAGCAGCCGAACTGCCTGCCAGCAGCGACGCGGCAAACAAAAAAGAACCATTTGACAATAGGGTTTAGGGTTTAGGGTTTAGGGTTTAAGGGTTTAGGGGTGTAGGGGTTTAGGGGTTTAGGGGTTGAGGGGTTTAGGGGCTTAGGGGTTAGGGGTTTAGGGGCTTAGGGGCTTACGGGTTTTTTTAGGGGTTTAGGGGTTTAGGGGTTTAGGGGTTTAGGGGTTTAGGATTTAGGGTTTAGGGTTTAGGATTCGGGGTTTAGGGGTTTAGGGGTTTAGGGGTTTAGGGGTTTAGGGGTTTAGGGGTTTAGGGGTTTAGGGGTTTAGGGTTTAGGGTTTAGGATTCGGGGTTTAGGGGTTTAGGGGTTTATGCAAGTGGTCCTGCGGACGATCCATGCGAGAGGCACGCAAAGATCCCTAACGGAGACTTAGGACAAATGAATTATGAATTCGCACGTCGTTTGGTGCGTTGGGATCGTATGTATCGGTTCCATACTTCAGTGGGATGGACAGTCGGGACATCACATGGAATTGCCTGTTTGACAGGAGCGAAGGGGCTTTTCATAGCTGTAGCAAAAGACCCCTTATCAAAGATAGCAAAAACTTGATGCCTGATTTCGCGTAGCTCCTTTGGAGCAAACTGTACTGACTGTACCGGCTCAGATACTCCTGCAAACCTCAAAGACTGCACGCGACGAAGGTTGAAGTCAAAACCTGCGCGGATGCCAATCGCTTTGACAGCATGGAGAAAAACTTTCAACTGTGCCCCCAGATTGGGACGACAAAGCTGGAGGCTATGATATTCAGTTTCATGTACCCAGGCAGACGGCACCTTGCAGTCCTTTAATGCAGGTGGGAGAGTTCCCGTTTTCAAGTTGGCTATGTTCACTGGCGTCACCCAGCCGGTGCGCCGAACAAAAAGGAAATACATCTCAACCAGAGACACCGAAGCAGGGGCAATGGACACAATCTGTGAATGTTGAAGGAAATCGTACAGCACTGTCATGAAACGAGGGTTAAGCAACGCGTCGCACATGTCCAGCACCGGCCAATGAAAGGCACAAAGCGGGGCTGCCAGCAAATCCACATGAGCTGCATCAATGCAGGGCCTATTAAGGCTGCAAGGGGTGGTAGCACCTGCTGAAGCGTTGACTGCTTGTGGCTTAGGACCACAAATAACTTCTTTTTGGAGCCCAAAGATTTGTTTGGCAAGCAAAACCTGTGAGTCCCCTGCTTCACGTGCCTTTAGAACAAGTTTGCGCGCATGAACAGGCCAGTTTTTGCGAGCTTCCTTTGCTGCTGTATCAACAGTCTCGTTATGGTACCCGCACCACCTTTCAAATTCAGATGTCAGAGAGCGCCATTCCCGATGAGCCTTGACATGATAGACATGCCAACAGTGGCGTACCGGGGCTAGTGTGAGCCATACCTGCCACCAGAGTTCGGTGGCTGCAGCGCGCAACCATCTTGAGTGCACCCACCCTTGTAGAATGAGGACGCGAAGACCGCAAACTACCGCAGAATTGTCGCAGTAAATACAGCCTCCGTCGCCAGACTGTAAAGCAACCCAGCAAGCAAACAGCTCTGCCCTATAGTTACTTTGCACGCCCGGAAGTGGGCCACTGTTGGCCACAGAATTTTCCAAAGAGTTATACTGCGTAAGCACTACAGCCCACCCGCACTGAGGTTGGATCAGATGAGGGTCTGTGCTCCCGTCGGTAAAAACCACAAGACGTTCATTAGAAGCTTTATGGATTTGGGGCAGGGGCTGCTGTAGCAACCAGTCTCGACATTGCTTAACCGCAGGTGGGAGGCTAAATAGACCACGCACCAACTCCGGCTCTGTAGTTTGTTCGAAAAAATCGCGAGGGAGATCACGTCTGGCAAACTCATAGCGCTCACATACCTTCAGACGGTGTATTTGGGAGTCTTCCTGTCCGCAATACCTACAGGCACAGTCTTGCTCCGGCAAAAAATGTTTCTTTTGCGAGGAGAAAATGGCAGCCCCAGCCGTGAAACAACCTACAACCGAAGCCTTTGCACTCGCGTGGTGGCGCAAAGCAACCGTGTGCATGAAGTGTGCGTCGCCTGCATTTTGCAAGCCAGGCTGCGGCGGCAGCTTGCTAGCAATAGTTATCCACCAGTCGTTTAGGACAGAAGATTGCAGGTTTCGCTTGCTTATGAATCCCAGATGGAAAGAGTTTCCCGACCTATCCAAACACACCATTCCCACGTGAGGAACCCAACCTAGGTCCGCAACCTGTTGGAGGAGGTAGCAAAAGGGGCCTGGAACCCTGAATCCACTCTCTAAAGCAGCATTCCAACGACGTAGAACTGAAGCTTCGTCTGCGACAAAGGCTCGCTGCAATGCACTCACCCTGCGTGTGAACACATGGACGAAAGGCTCATAAATAACTGACGAACCCAACACGGGCGATACAAAATGGTTTCGTTGGTTGGATTTACCCCAAATGGCACAGGAGAACTTTCCCCGAATTTTACTAAATGTGGATGGAGACACCTTTGCAAGTTCACACCCGAAAAAGATGGCTGGCTGGATTGCACGGGTAAGCACCATGGCTTTGCGGTCGCTTGACCAAGGCATGACCTCCAAACGCTGCAATTTGGGCTGATTAGCCTCCAGGCGTCTCAAAACAGATCCTGCGGCTTGCTGTTTGCCGGCATTGAAGTCAACTCCCAGGTCATCCACACGGAGCGACACAGACAAAGGAAAACCCTGGACGACGACTGAACGGAGCCACTGTCGACCTGCAGGAGTTGTTGCATACGCGCGGGTTTTGTCAGGGTTTAACAGTAAATGAAGGCATTCGGTAGCCTGACAAATGGCCTGGAGGGCGCAGGGCAGACGTTGTGCTGACTGGGACTGAACAGTCCAGTTGTCAACGTATGAGACGAGGCAGCTGCCACAAGCAGAGACTTGCTGGGTCACAGCCCATGTGACCAGTATCATGGCCGGCACAGCCAATGGACATCCTTCTGGGATGCCTATAGCACTATCAACCGGGCCATACATCCCACCCTGGATTCTAAAATACCGGCTTAACCTGTCCAAATAACCTGTATAGGCCGAGACTAGACCTACCTGCCAACCAGCTCTTACTGCAAGGGCTTGAAGGACATTCCTGTGCACTGTGTTATATGCCTTTGAAAGGTCCAAGGAGACACCAAACAGGTCGGATTGTTCCATGAGTGCTTCTTCAATGTTCGAGGCAAGTTCCCACGCCGCGTCAGTAGAGCTTTTTCCTGGGACACTACCAAAAAGACCTTTAGGCAAGTGGCCATTCCAGTGCTCAAAAATTTTTTGGGTGAAAATTTTTCCGAAGAGCCTGTATAAAGTCGGGAGTATAGTTATAGGCCTTCCATCCTTGGCCGTAGAGGGCTCAGACACTTTTGCAACAAGTGACACTGCACCGACACAGAGCTCATCGGGCCAGACCCCTGTATCAATGATGCCATTGAACAAGTCGGCCAGCAACGTGCAATCAGACGTGGAAAGACTCTGCAACTCAGTATTACTAAACCCATCCAAACCTCTAGCTTTGGCACGCTTTAAGCCCTTGATTGCTGCACAAACCTCTTCTCCAGACACATGGGCATTGAAAGGTTCAAGATGTGGCAAGCCTTGGACTAAATACTCAATGCTCGGCAGATTGACTGGGCGACCGTTATTCCAGTATTGCGACCAAAATGCCTTCAATTCCTGGAACAGGAAATGGGGGTCCGTGCACCACGACTTCTGCTGGACAGAGCGTTTGAACATTTCTGCATGCATAGGGTCTGTGAGGACCGCCACGTCACCCTGAAGCTTTGCGACACGCGCGGAACGCTTGCCAAAGCACCATATAGCACCAACTTGAACATGCTTAGGGTCTTGCACACGGAAACGAGCAGGCTGATGTTTGGCACATTTAAGCGGCGATATCACCAACCTTGTGGATTTGAGCAAAGCATCAAGCTGACACGGCGCGGGGTTCTTGACGCATTTTGAATGCAGTCCGCCACCATTTTTCCAATCATCTTCGAAACGTTTCTTACTGATGTTTACCTGTTCTTTTCTAATCAAAGATTTCCAGTGCGCAACTTCAAACTCAACTTTGGGCATGACTTCGTTGAGCCAGTCCAGTGACGGCACAGAGTTTGGGACAAACAGGGTCAGCTCATTGTTTAAGAGCCATTCAGAAAAACTGGGCGAGAATGCCCTGCTCTTTAGCAGTTTATCCCAAAGGTTAGTGCACTCATGAGGGTTAATCCGGCGCTGCGCCAAAAAATGAAGCTGACGTAATCTAGAAATCTCTTTAAGTTTTGCATTTGTGGATATCCGGTCAGTGACAAATGAGTTGCCAGCATGGATAGCGCAAGGAGCTTCCTGACGCAACTCGACACGCCCTCTGAAGCGGCCTAAGAACTTGACAGGCAGTTCCGTATCATAAACCTTACTGTGGACCAATTTTGCCTTCTGTTCAAAACCGTCAACAAAACACCTAAAAGCTCCCTTGATATCACCCATCGACAGTTGTCTGCGGACTTCGCTTGCCGTTTCACCTGCAATCGAGGTTTCTTTTAAGTGCTTCTGAAGATCAGACAACTTGGCCAGATCCATTGGCATACGCCACCGTGGAATTTTTTCCTTTATAACACTCCAGTCAAAGCACGCATTTAGGATTGCATGGTCAGTAAACCCCGCCGGGTCAACTTCAAAAGACTTCAGCGCCTTCCAAGCAAGAGTGTTACAAAGCAAATAATCCAACCTACTTTCCCCTCTATAGGTATTTTCAGGCTGCACGTTGCCAATGGACGCAATTCTGCTTGCAACATCAACAAACCCTACGTCGGAAGCTTTATGCCAGGCACCTACTTGGGAAATGTCACAATTAAGGTCCCCTACAACAAGAGTTGGGAGATGCATGCAAGAAACCGTTGCAAAAACTTCATGGAGAAGGGCCTCATTGAGTTCCAAAGATTTGGGAATGCCTGAATGAAAACCATAAACTGCA